TTTTGGATGTAATTTTGACAAGCGGGAGCCTATCAAAGCACCCATCAATTCCAATCTGGGAAGTGTGATAATTTTTTCAAAGGTGCTACTCGTGATTTTGATGTAATGAAACTTGTATGAATGACTCCATTTTTCGAATAACGAAAATACAGAACAGCCCCATAGGCCTTCTGACTCGCATCTGTGAAACAGTGTAACTGTAAACCATCCTTTATATCCCTTTTCCCAGCACCTGCAAACTGATGTCTTGGTATTTCCAAACTAGAAATATGAGCTAATTCATCACACCAGCTTTGCCAATTCTTTCTGAGATTTTCTGGTATTTCAGTGTCCCATGCTATCTTTTGTTCCCATAAATCTTGCAATAAAATCCTAGCTCGAATGGTGTATGGATTTAAAAACCCCAGTGGATCAAAGAAACGTCCTACAAATCTCAAGATTTCCCTTTTAGTTGGTATGTTATCTATCCTTTTGGCATCTTTTACCAAATCTTCAATTTCTATCAAAAATGTATCATTTGACCTATTCCATATGTATCCCAATACTTTAGAACAAGTCGAATCTTGTGAAAAATCTTCTTCATTCCATACCCTTTGTAAATTCGTTTCATTCGTTTTCCACTTCCGCATGTTAAATCCACCTTCTTTCAGTATGCGTTTAATATGTTCCGATTCCTCGAATGCTTCTGATTCTTCATCTGCTCCAGCGATTAAATCGTCAACATACATATTTTCAGTTAGCATGGAAAATACGTTCGGATACTGTGACTTGTATTTGTCAGCGTGTACATTAAGAGTTGCTCTGAGAAGAAACGGACTAGATGTTGCTCCAAAAATTACCCTTGTCATACGAAGAGCCTTTATTTTGGTTCCATTTAATTCACCATCGTTCCATAGAAACTTGACTGCGTTTCTGTCTTCATCAGCAAGAGAAATCTGCAAGAATGCTTGTTCGATGTCAGCTGTAAACGCAATTCGATTTTGACGGAACTTAAGGAGCAATTCCAGTATGTCTGGACACATCTTGGGACCTGAATGTAAACAGTCATTTAATGACAAACAATTCTCCGCATGTGACGAAGCGTCAAAAACCACACACGGAGTTTTGTAGTTTCCTTGTTTTCTCTTATAACGGCTTGATGCGGCATAAAATACGTTTTTGGTCCAATTTCAATGTGTAGTCTCTTCGGCGATTCCTTCTTTTAAGTACCTTATCAATTACTTCGCGATATCTGTCATAGAACTGTTGATTATTCTGAAATCTACGACTTAAACTCTTAAATCTAATTTTAGCAATCTCCAGATTATCTCCTAGCTCATTTGAATTATGATTCCAGGGAAGGCGAACAATATAACGATTGTTTTCAAATTTCACAGATCTTTTGAAATTATCGAAAACTAAATTATCTTCTAATTCGAGTTCCTTATCCGAATCATAATTTATCCCATAGAATCGAGCTCCCAGAGATTCTTCAGCAAACTAGACAGTGATTCGTTCTGTGTATCTTTATTATTATGAACCACAACCTTCATAGTATTCACATTAGTTTGGAAATTCCGTAAGCCCTTTCTGTTCCACTAATGGTCCAACCCAATTTTGTTTCAACCGATACTAAGGAATTAGACAGTCTGTGAACCTTACCCGTAACTATTTTCCAATAAAAATCCGCTCCTATCAGCAAAGAAATTTTCGGGGTTTTATTCCCTTGTCCCCATTCATCGGAAAGATGTATGCCCTGTTTTTAATAAGATTAAATATTTCATTTCTAGGGGAATGAATATGTGGCTCATTAATGACAGGAATAATTAAAGCTTCTATTTTGATTTCATATCGATTCTTCGAATTACGCAAAATGAGCCTGGTTTTTTTAACATTCTGCGCTTCAGACGTCGTGCAACCGAAAGAGAATATTTTTATTTTTTCTTCTCCAATAACGGGAAGTTTTAATTTCTTACAGATGTCCTCTCTAATAAATGTTCGCTGCGATCCTAAATCAAACAACAAGCGAACGCTTTGCTGGAGCCAATTGCCTGTGTTTATAATTTCAGTTCGTGCTGTCAGAAGAAATGAGTTATTTGCTGTTGCGCAATCGGAAACAGAAGAGACTACTGCGCCTTGAACGGGACTCTGGTCTGACGAATTCATTTCGTCAGAATGTATCAATGTATGATGTCGTCGATCGCAAATACCCCAAGTTAGTTTCGATTTGCACATCCTCGCTAATGGTACCTTTTGAGACACACGAAGCAAATTCCCCTTCGCTTTAACGCTTCCTTTTTTTTTCTGGTACAGTCTTTTGACATGATTCTGACGTATGATTTTCAAAACAAAATAAACAGCTATTAGATAGAGATGTGTTTAACGCCGCCGCTGAAGGAATTCTACCCTTATTATAATTTCGATTTCTTTCGCTGTCTCGAAAACGTTCTCGAAACTGCCGCTTATTTTCAAAATGGGATTTCTTTTCAGTGACTTCAGAATCTGTTGGCTTAATTAAAAATCCTGTACGTTCTCGACTTTCTATTTCTTTTCTTAAAAAATTGAGCAAATTCGTAATTTTTGTCTGATTATCATCTTCATATTTCCTATTAAATTCTAGTGCTAAATCATTCGGAATCACCTTTATTAATATCGGATACAATAAGGTACTGTACGAATCCGGTAAAATATTACACGATTCTAATCCTCTAATTTGTACTTCACAACGATCATATAATTTTCGAAGTGCTGTCACATCGCAAGACCTTTTAACCGGAGTCAGAGTTAATAAATTGTTCATGTGGGTATCTATTATTAGTTCTTTGCGTCCGAAGCGATCTTTTAATATTTTCACAGCCTTTTCGTAATTCTCCGCTGTTAACGTCAACCCTTGTATTGCAGTTTCTGCATCGGAAGTAAGAATTGACTTAAAATAGTTAAATTTATCTACCGCATGTAGACTTTCGTTTTCGTGTACAGCTGTCTCAAATCGTGCCCAAAACCCGGGCCAACTGCACACATCCTTTCCCGAAAATGTTTCCAGTGGCCAATTTGGGGAGTTTAATTTTGTTCTGCGATTCAGTGACATTTCCATATGAAGTAGAATTAGCGCTATGTGGATTAGTATCTAAATATCTTTTCGCGCGTAATTTCCAAATAATAATTTTACTTTTATACTCTTCTCTAGACATTATTTCATCTTCTAAATTTGCTACATCAATTAAAGTTTCAATACCATTATCCGCTAAGATTAGTTCTTCTTCTTTACTAATTAACTGAGCAACCGTTTCTTCAATTACATTTTTATCCCCCTCATTAGCAATTCCTGTTTCTATCTTATTTATCAGCCTCGTAACTACTGCTCTTATAGCAGATCGTTTCTTTTTTAATTTTTCTAAATCCATGTTTTTGCTTTAAGGAAAATCTATTAAATTTCAGTTGAAATTCAACCCAATGGCCCCACGTTATGGCGCCACAATATTATTATTTATATCCTTATCGTTCTCGTTACTTCTAACTAATTAATCAAGGTAAAACAAAACTGCTTACCTTGTTCCAATGGGTTCTGCCAGGGTCACCGGGTTGATCTCCTTCGTGCATCTCCCTGCAAAATCTTGAAGGAGATAATCCATAAATGATATATATTTTCTTTACACAAACATATTTAATGAAGACGCAAACGGTTACAGAATATTTACATAATGAAAGGTTTAAATGTTCGCACGACGCAGCGTGCGACTTCTCAGTTCCGAGTTCTCGCGATCTCTAGGCGAGAGTTTCCAGTTCGAGATGACGTCACTCAGCCATCGAATCTCAGGAAGAGTTGAGTTGCAACACCCCATCACGTTAGTGCAGGGCTCATTGGTTTCGGGAGTTGTTAAATGACTTGAACTTCTTTTGAGGCGACTAAAAGTAGCTCTCTCATTTGAATGCACCTTCTCTCTCCTTTGTTTAGCTATTGATGCTTTGTAGTTGCAATCCTTTCCTAAGGGGAAATTGCACACAGTAAGTGAAACCGCACAACGATTTCGAAGACAGACAGTAATTGCTTCGCTTAAATAGGTTATTGCTAATGCTGTAGAATGGCATTTGAAAGGAAATACATTCCAATACAAATTCGTATACTCGGGTTTTTCAGATGTTTGAGAGGAACACATTTTGGCCTCTACCGATGCGAAAGAGTTAATGGACCTATTCCCCCATCAGTTTGCCCATAAATTCTAGATTCGAAATTCAGACAGAAAAACAATTGAAGTGAGAGTTGTAGTCTGTTGGCAGAATCCTTCTTCCCTTGTACAGAGATTTCTTTATTAGTAAAGAATTTTGGGATCAATCACAAATTTTGGCCAGAATCTAATACTCGGCTTCGATTCGGCTTTTCTCGGAGTTTATTTTGCTAGCACCGGATGATTTTTGCTAAGTTCTCAATTTCCTCTGAAAACACTACTCCATTCTTGCAGTCTGAGTTTGCCAATGAAATCAGGTTACAACGGTGTCAATTGAAGAACTATTACTATTTTTCTACTGCGAACAAATTATTCATTCTGAAGCAGGATTTCTTTTCGTCATGAAGAGCTCTTTGCCTCCACGAAATAAATTTCTTTGTAAATCTTTACCGAAAAATATTGAAAGAGCTGATACGTCAGAAGTCTTAGAAAAATCTATCTCTTAATTACGCTACCAGTTCTTGCAATAAACTTGATGTTACAAAATGTCTTAATTTTCCAATTTAATTTTCCATTGGGTAATTCATATGCTATTCAAGCACTGTCTTTCAAAATAAAGACTTCCGAAATTGCTGGATGCATTGAGATACGGAGAAATACTTAATTTTTTTAACATTGAACAATCATAAAATATTCTATTAAGCCTTTGAAAGTAGTTGAAGCTTCACTGTCGCTGTCACTTTATTTCAAAAACTTTTAAATTTATGAAAAAAAATCTATATTCTTTTACCATAGTAATCCCTACCTCATTAGAAAAGATATGCAACTAATCTTTTCTTTTTTTACTTATTTCAGTGATCCAGACTGGTACTTGGTTCGGCACACAAAGCGACACAACAAAGGGTTTGCGCCCAAAAGTTATTTAGCTTTAAACGTTACAGTAGGACAAGAAGAGTAAGTAGTCTTTAATGCTTTAATGTATACTTGAAAATGGATTCTAGAAAGATTTCCGAACATATCTGAGTATTTTCCTTTAAAATATGAGTACACCTAAAACTTGAGGTAAATAATATAATGTACATAAGGTATAAAATATGATAAAAATTACTAACGAATTGCTAACTTAATTGGAAATATTTATTTCCTGATTTTATTTGCCTATGTCCTCCTTCAAAGAATCTTTACTGCGTCACTTACGTCATTATTTCTTCTGCAATGATCTTCACTGCGAAACCTGTTGTCTATTCACTGATCAGGATTCAAACGAAAGGGTAACTCATGTCTCCTGCCTGGGTAACTCACATGTCTTCGCTTAGTTGTATCTTCTATTATTTAAAATGTGATCAGTGAATATAGAATTATGGGGTGCTTATCGCACTCATAGTGATGTGAAGAAAAGCATATTTGTTCTAAGAAACTACTTTTCAAGGAAACAAAATTATGTATTCTGTTATCTGCAAATATTCATCGTCTGCAAGTTTCTTCTATTATCATACGTCACGAATCAAAATAGTGTTGCGGGAAGCTCTACGCTGGCGATTTATTTGCTTCGAATTTCTAACATGTTTTTACCACTGCGTTCATGTACGTCGGCCTGAAAGAATGCATCCTCGAATGCGTCAAAAATATCATCAAGTGAATTAAATTTGTGTCTGCTTTCTGCTGCGTCCTTGGAACATGTAGTCTTCAAAATTAGAATTTTAATATTTGTTTTAAATAATTTTAGTTATAAGTAAGTAATTTCAGTATTTCATGATTTTGTTATAATATATTAAAATTTTCTCGTGTGCCTGAATGCATTGATTTATGACAAAATTATTAATGGAGACTAGATCCAAATGTCCTAGAAAAATATCCGAAATTGTTTCTGTAGATAAAGAGAAATTTACCTGCCCAAGATTTGATGCTACAAAAAATTATCGAGTAGATAAATATTTGATATTTTTTTAAAAAGGATGTAGTACAAATAATCTTTCTGAAAAAGAAAAATTAGCTTTATTTCCAGATTTTTTAAAAGGAAGCCTTGTCATTCTATATCCGCAATGTCTTGAAATAGATTGTTGGAATCTATTAAAAATGAAATTTTAGTTTTACTTTTCTACTTCTGAGCATGTTACCCTTGTAATTATATCCTATTCCAAAACCACTTTGCCCTATGTCTTATGCACCTCAACATCTGGTCTGGAGAAATGTTCGGGCACCACCATTGAGATATCCAAATTCTCAATATTCCCAATATCCCACCTTAAATTTTTATCAACCCCCAATCCTATCAAAATCAAACCTCACCCTAAAAAATTATAATATTTTAAGTTAAATTTTAAGGTAGGAAATAATACAGGGGTTGGACAAAAATATGGAAACACCTTTTAAAAAACATGTTTCTTTGCTTAATATCGTGTAGGAAACCCGTTGGCATCCAAAACAGCTTGCAGTCTTCTCGGAATGGATAAATACAGTTCCTGTATGTTTGCCAAGGGAATACTATACCATTCTTCCTGCAAAACGCTGGCAAGTTCAGATAACGATGTTGGCGGAGGATAACGAGAACGCACTTTCCGTTCCAATGTAGACCACAAAGGTTCGATAATATTCAAGTCTGGTGACTGTGGTGGCCAGGCAACTCATCCTCGTGCTCAGGAAATCAGTCCTGGACAATGTGAGCTGTGTGAACAGGGGTTTTGTCGTCTTGGAAGACACCATCACCATCGGGGAACAAAGTTTGTACCATGGGATGAACTTGATCGGCCAAAATGTTCACATATGTCTTGGCAGTCATGTGCCCTCACACAGTTATCATGGGGCTAGCAGAGAACCACGATATGGCTTCCCAAACCGTAACAGAACCCCCGCCATGTTTCACTCTTGGCAACAAGCAGTCTGTATTATAGGCTTGAGATGCCGTTCTCCAGACGTAAACTCGGCCAGAAGTGGGAAACAATGTGAAAGAAGACTCGTCAGACCATATTACTCTCTTCCACTGTCTATAGTCCAGGCTTTATGACTTAGACACCACCTTTTCCTGTTACGGGCATTAGCATCACTGATGAGTGGCTTCTCAATTGCAGCACGGCCAGCAATTCCCTGTTTATGAAGCTCCCTTTTAATTGTTTTGGTACTCGCAGGGTTCGGTAACACAACATTCATTTCAGCAGTAACTTTGCAGCTGTGGTCTTATTTTTCGTCACAATTGCCCTTAATGATCGTCTGTCACGATCACTCGGGACACACTTTCGTCCGCGCTGTGATTTAGCAGATGATGTTTTCCGCTTTTCAAATATGCGGAATAAATCTTCGATACAGTACCTCTTGAAACACTAAACACCTCGGCTACCTTGCTTACGGAAGCACCTACCGTACGTGCTCCAACAATTTGCCCACGTTCGAAGTCTGTTAACTCTTACATAATGCAATGACAACTTCACTTAACAGTACTCCGACAACAACTGAACTGTTTAGCACATTTGCGAAGTTGTATAGGTGGCGTCAGTAGTCAAAAACGCCAGCGCCACCTGCATATTTCATTAAAATCAATCTTTCTTTTCAAACATGCATTTCACAAGGTGTTTCCATATTTTTGTCCATCCACTGTAATTTTCCTGCTATTATCGATATAGGTAGCCAAGTTAATGTCATTTCTAAAAACATTTTAAATTGTATTGATAATTTTGAAACTGAACTTGAAGAAAAATATCGTCTTTATCTGAAGGTCCTCTGTCTTTAAATTGGTTAAGTTGTCATATAAAATTGGATGCTTAAGTAGAAATTTAGTACATTATGTGGTAAATTCTCATTTAAACTATTTATTATTATCTTCATCTTGTACTTCCTTGTTTAAAATGCAATTGAATTTTACTGATTATGAGGTGTATCAATTTAAGAGAAATATGAACAAAGATGTATGTTTTAAGAACGGAAAATGAAAAAGAATGCTTCAGTAATGTTGAAAATAATGAGTGAGAAAGTTGTGTAAATCACCATCTCAAAGAATTACTAAATAACTGCAGTCATATATTTGCAAAACGTAAATATGGTATAGGGCGTATTAATAACGAACCTCCACGAGTAATACTGACTTCAGAACTTCCTGTAGCTTATAGACCATAAGCGCATCCCCTAAAGGTTATAACAACATTAAAAAGCAAACGGCCGATATTACATGCAGGCTTCATAAAACCATCATTTAAGCCTTATGCTACCCTGTAATTTATAAAAGAGATGATTCAAAAACGAGATTATGCATTGATTACAGAAAACTGTTTTACTAAAACAGATTACGAATTCATGCCTAGAATAGCTGCTGTTCTAGATTAATTAACAAGTGCAAAGTTTTTTTATTATTTTTTTTTTATTAAGCCTAGCATCGGGTTATTGGCATATAAAGTCAAATGTTAAATGAAAAGGATACTGAGAAATTAGCATTTACAACCAATTTTCGTCTTTATGGATAACAGATTACCGTTTGGTTGTAAAAATTCTCCAGCTGTTTTTCAAAGAACCCTCAGATTAATTTTAAACAAATATCAAATTAAGTTTTCTTTAAATTACTTTTATGATATTATAGTATTTCCCAAAATTTTTGAAGAATGTTTAGAATATCTTAAAATATTATTTGACATAAGTAAAAAAGAAAATATAAAATTAAAACGGTATAAATGACAGTTTTCTAAAGAAAGATTAAATTTTCTGGATATGAAGTTTAGGCAAGAAAATATCAACCCAATAATTTAAATATTAAAGTTATTAAAAAATTACAATCCCCTAAAAATGTTAAAGACTTAAAAAGATTTCTTGGAAGTATTAATGCGCATCATAAATTTATTCCAAATTATGCAAGAATTAGAGCCTCTGTAATAAATTTGCTTAAACGAGTGTTCCATATATAAATGGAAAACTGTGTGCCAAACTGCCTTTAAAAATCTAAAAAGATGCTTTAATTTTCAGACCCATATTAAACTGATTTAATCCAAAATATGTATGTATTTATAAATGCATCTAAATGAGCTATTGGTGCAGTTTCAAGAAAGAAACACCCAGGTGATAATTTCTACCCTATAGGTTTCCATTCTCGAATGTTACAGATCTTATAAGAAAAATTATGTAATTACCGAATTAGAACGTTTCTGAATGCACAGCCGTTCATCTTACACTAAATACACTGTTTTTAAGTGTTTTAACTGCAGAAGCATTTCAAGTAATATATTCCTTTTAACACTATAGGAGTGTTATGCACTGAAATATATTACTACTAGCAGCTTCGCTGCCAGCCTTCGTCTGGCTTTTAAATGTACCGGAAAAGTGCCTGAAGGGAACAAACACCAAACGTTAAATTAAAAACCGCGCAGAATTTTACTCTGCAGAACGACTTCATCCGAAAAAAAAATTTATTACATATAAAAAAATTACAATAAAATCAGCAATATCCCTTAATAAAAATATTAATTATCCTAATAAATAAATTAACCAACTTTCCGTTGCCTTCTCTCAACAAACGTCCAGTATCCAAGAGAAACATTAAATTTAAAAAATGCACAGAATTATCGCCCTAATTTTTTCAAGTAGTAACAATGCTGGTTTTCAACAGTCAGCAGTCCAGTATACAATTGAATGAAAAACTGTTGCCAAAACCACATTTCTAAAAGAATGAAACTATTCAAAATGATGCGATAAAATCGAAAAGATAATATAAACAAAATTTGATTCGAATTTTGAAGAAGTCGCTTCGAGGTACACTGGCTCTTGTCGAGATGCACCTATATACCAAATTTCGTAGCCCTGGGTCTATTAGCTTACGCGCAGCACGAACGAAAGACACGCAGACTTTTTCTTTTATATGTAGAGATTACATTTATGAGTTTTTATATATTCAGTTATGAAATAGTTCATGAATCAAATGATAAGCCATAAGCTATGAAAGACCATTACTAACAAAATTAACAAATTAATTGACCTTTAAATTTCTCTTTTTAGTTTGAGTACTTCCCCTCTCTCCTCTAAAAATAGTGATAACTTTTTCTAAAGTAAGTTTTTCAAAATCTGGTTTTGTAATCCTGTCTGCAGTGCGATGAAATCTCAGTCAATCAGATTAAATAAGTTACCAACTGCGCACTCCTCTTTTCTCCGCTTTGCTTGAGGCTAACAACATGCTTCACAGCTTTCGCTTTTTTGATTTTGAGATGTAAATTACTATACACAAGAACTGTTGTGTTTATCAAGAGTGCAAGAAGGGCGTAGACTGTACGAATGTTCATGGATAAATTAAAGTGTTCTTTTAATCAAAGCTGTCTTCCTTATTTCTTTTGGTAAATCTACGCATTGGGGGATCTTCCATAGTAATTATGACGCAGATAAGCATCTCATCGTTTAACGGCTGTCTTTAGATATAAGTTGAAATTTTCTGATCTGAATAAATTACATCTTCTAATTTATTCAGTCTCCCACTCAAAATTTTAACATATATATATATATATATATATATATATAATGTGAAATTTTCTTCAAAGGTAATTAATACAACAGATTCCATGTTTTAGTCCTAGTAAACAGAGATCTTCACAGTAGTTTTAAATAAACATTAAGCATTGGTCCCCCTTTTATTTTCTTTATTGAAAGTACTTGACAATAACAATAGTTTCTTATTATATAACTATAGTTTTCTTATTCCTTTTTAAAATACTACTGAATACTAATAAATTGTTACTAAATACAAGTAAACTGTTAAAATACTAATTTTAAATTGTGCATCTGGTAATTACTACTGAGTGTTGGAAAATTAAATACAAATTTAATAAAATTATACCAGAATTCCTTGAACCCCATTTGGAACTTGGTGTAAAAATCTATATTAGGTACTACGCATTAGAAATACACCCTGAGTGTTTAAATTTTAAAAACACCTATCCAGCAGGGTGTCCTTCCCTAGTACGAAAGAAAACTTTGAAGTACCAAGGCATCGGCTCTAAAAGATTCTTGCAGACTGCCGAAGGAACTGCAAGCCATACCTGTTCTAACCCTGCAGACCACTATGGCCTAAATAATTCCCCAATATGCATGTATATGATATTTCACTGTACAATATTTTAGAAAGGTTCGGAAATGCTTAAACCCTAGTAAACTTAAAGGCCCTTGGATGATCTGGAATTTGCATTGTTTCTTAAGCCGTGATTGGCAGCACTGATCCAATGGTGTAATGTCCTGCTGAAAAAAATTTTCTCTTCATAAAGCGCGAAGGTTAAGAAAGGATGTTAGGTGATCAAGAGTACATTCTAGTAGTGTGTAACGAATAAAAATTTAAGGACATTTAAGATTAAGTGAGTTAATATATCACTGCTCCATTATTATTTTTAATCATACCATTATTATTTTTAACAGAATAAGTTTGGCAAGACTGAGCCATGACCCGCGCTGGCAACGCAACATCTGTTATGTTTTAATTCACCGCCTACAGAAAGAAACAAGCTTCATCTGACTGTGATGTCTAATTCTTCCATCGTCACCAAACACAGTACAACATCCAAATGATACCCATTAGCATTTGTACAAAATTAGGATTTTAAGGAGATTTTTTGTCACTTTATGTCTGCAGCATGTGCTTTATTTATGTTCTGTAAAAGCAACCAATCTGAATTTCATCTGCTTTTCAGTTACTTTTTTATCTTTCTGTTAAGCCCACCAAACCTACACTGGGCTGAATATCAGAGGGGAAGGAGAGGCTGCTGTTTTCTCACTCAACAATCGTAATGCCATCAATAATTTAATTCGAGGTAGAATTTGTGACTGCATTTGAAAATGCTAAGGACTTTGCTTTTTTTCAAGATGCAGTGGCCCATCAAGTTTGTCCTAGCTGAACTTCCATGATCAAAATGAGCAGTTAAGGTAGTCATATGTGTCCGTTTTCATCGATTTCACAGTAACGTAGCTGAAAGGGGATGGTAGAGGCGATTTGCCACGGACGCCACTTTTTTGAAGTGAAGTATAATTTTAAAGAAAAACAACGATGAAGCACGTGAGGCCATTGCCTTAGGTAAAGAATGAAGAGAAACGTTAATTTAAATATGAAAAGTTAGGTTTTTTTTGTTTTTTTTTAAATAGGAGTTATAATTGTTAACTTTCAACTTCTCAAAATTAGTAATCATAATTTCAACTTTTCATCTTTGAAATACACCAAGAAACACCGTTCAAAACATCATATTTAAAGTAGCAAAACTTATTAACGCTATTTATGATAATTTAAAAGTATTGCATTCTTGACACTTCTTTCACACTCTGTGCTATACCCCCGAATGTATGATTTCCATTAATCACCTCCTCTTAAGCCCTTTTCTCAGTCAAGTAGCGATTCTGTACTTGAGTTTTAACACATCATAATGATAAAATAAAAAGCAGCAAATGTATTTAAAAATAAATCAACTAGTTTATTAAGAAGAATTTTGTATTACAAACAATCCAATTGAATTAAGAGAAGAATTAGTAAATAGTTTATTCACAAAAAATGTTGTAGTCTTACAGTACTGCATAGACTGTTTTCTAACATTAAAATTTATTGTTTGAACTAACATATGAAAGTTGGTTTACGTTTGTGGTAATGAGATACAGGGGACTATACTTATCTAGAAAACACCATACTGCTGACTCTTTTCTCTCCCTTAAATCTGAATTATAGTTCTTACCTCTCGCACTTCGCCATATTGCCATCCACATCAGTTTAAGGTACAAACTATCATATTAATATCGATGTACTACTTAATTAACATTAAAACTATTGTTCACATTTCTTAATTTTGTAATATCTTTTCAGTTGGTTTTTTGAAGAAACAAATCGGACGGATGCAGAACGATTGCTTTTGCAGCCAGAAAATCCTAGGGGAACTTTTATGATCAGGAATAGTCATATACCAGGCTAAGTTTCAAATCTTTTCCTTCATAAGTTTCTAAGCGTTCTATATCATAAGCTAAAATAGATCATAAATTCTAGAAACCCAACTTTAGATGTAATCTTCTAAAGTTGGCAAAATCTACTTTAGAAGAATGTATATTACGTAAAATATAAATGATATTTTTTAATTTATTTTTAGCAGATAGCTTAGAGTACTTAGTGGACAATAAGAATGGCTAACGGATTCTGACCCCCCAGATTTTTCTGCTTTTTACTAAACTTAAAATTTCTTCCCTGTGGTAACAATAGTATATGCTAACAACAGTGGAAAACATGCAAGCTAGTATATGGCGTATAATTTAGAAAAACAAGCATTCATATTTGCTGCCGGTAACCTTCGTTTCAACCCAAAAAATTATCTTTAAGAACTTAGCTTCGCTTAGTTCCTTGGTTTATTATGTTTAAGAAATTAACATCGTTTCAATTCAAATAATTACTTTAATTTAATTTGTGAATTATCTTCTGCTGCCTTTACCCTGCCTTCACGTTTTTTCGAATTTTTTTTCCTGTGATTTTTATCTATGTTTCGCATATTTCATACTGACAATGTACCCCAGTGGTCTTCAAACTGTGTTTCACGAGTAAAAATAACAATTTCGAAAAAAAAATTGTAAAACATATACACTCTTTGATTAATCTTTATTAACCAACATATCCGCTCGAGTACTACGATAAATCAGAAGGCTTGCCAATAAAAGGGAATAACTTATCGACGTATTAACAGATTCGAAGTTAAAAATCTAAATTTAAACAAGAGCAGCTAATATAGTTTTGGTTGTAGATTCATGCAAAATACCCAGAAGTTTTCACGCATCTATAAAAATTTTAACATGTTTCAGAATAGAGTATTTAAGCAAAAAACCTTTCTCAACTTATATAGCAACCAAAAAAAAATTAAGTTAAAAACAGAAACAATTTCATCGCAAAATATTAAATGCGACTGCAGATAACATCAATAGAGCTAGACCTCAAGAGTTCGTATGAAGCAGCTGTTAGAATAAATTAATGTCACTTTCGCATAATGAAACTCAGCAGCGTCAAAAACAAACGAGCGCCAAACGATATATTGGAGAAAGGATTCTACCTACATTTTTGAAGTCTTAAAACTTTGAAATCTTAAAAAAAGCAAAGTTTTAAGCTCAGGTCTTAAAATGTTTTTGCACTTGCCTTGTATTTGAGCTTCATTCCTTTTCAACCATGTTACCTCCTTTTTTGGAATATACTCCAGGTAATATTGCCTAATACGTAAACCTAAAGATATTTAAAATTTATAAATGAGTTCTTTTTTCAACACTTCAATTTAAATGTTTGTGAAGACTGTTAATTTTGATTTGTGTTCTAATTGAATTAAGGAAACTCTCTAACTTGTTAAATAAAGATTTCATAGTTATTCTAACTTACGCGATTCTTTTATAAAGCTGCGCTAAATAGAGGACAGTGTACTTAAACGCCTTAACTGTATTAAATGCACGACATATCAGAAGCACACCCCAGTCACTACATATAATGCAATGGTAGGGAACACCTAGAGCACGAGTTAATGCTATTAATGGGTAAATTACATTAATTTTATGTTAAAATATTTTAACGAAAATAATGTATTTTTCTTAATATAAAGTACTCATAACGTATTCATCTACTTTAAATGTTTATTTAAGATAGACAAAGTTTGAAGACTGATGTAGCTTAACTCTTGTTTTTGTTCTCTTAATAATAATGTCTCTCTAAATGTTAGGATGGTCAATGATAAATCGGTAAAAGTTCTTAAAACCCCTCTTCTGCGATATATGATGTCTCGTCCGATATGCAAGATCTTCAGCTACCAATAGCTGATGTTAATCTGTCACGTAAGAACATCGGAAGTAGTTCAGGGGGATAGAATACACAATCCTCGATATCACTATCACTAGAGTTTTGTTCGCAATTTACGCCAAAATAAGGCTGCTGTTTTACCTAATTTTGTAAATGTGTCTGTATTTGTAAACCGAAGAGGGAGCCCTTTTTCTAAAAGCTGAGTATTATTGTAGATCTCAAAACTTACCTTTCAAGAGGTTTTCATCGATAGAGCTTTTGTCTAAGTCCTTGAAAATTTGGATTTTGACACAAGAATAAATGTTATTCTTTTGCCTCCGAAACTGCATTATCTGCTTCAACAATAGATCAAAGTGTGATCAAGTTACTGAAAACGTATTATCTCCGACGTCATTTCGCCGGCTTGAACACAAATATAAAAGAGCAGAACTGATAGTAGAAGTCTTAATGAACGAACTTTCTATATCTTTCATTCAGTGGGATTTATGAGGCTTATGTAGGAGCCAATGCCATTTTTCTTTCAACAAATGAAATCTTTGTGATAGGAAATGAAATGAGCTTGGAAATCGATGTTGAGCTACTGCAGAGTTCCTGAATAACCACGATTAGAACTTATGTTTGACAATTTACTTCAATTTCAGTAAAAGCGTCCGGCTCGACGGACCATGTACTATGATTCTAAACTAATGAGTGGACTGTATAGCAAAAGAACTAACTAGTTTATTGACGGTAATTAACTACATTCAGACCTAATACATGCTCTGGCATGTTGCTTAGCCGAATCCAGATGACCAAGTGAGAGTTTCTCTCCTTATCCAATAGGTGGCGCTGTATTCTAACTTAACAGCGTCCTTGAAAAATCTAAGCCCACAAAAATAATTGTGTTGTTTATTAAATTAAGCAAGGAGTTCAGAATTGTGATAAGAAATCATAAAACCATATATTGTGGTACGTATCGAGTACAACAACTGGAATGTACACAAAAAATATTTTTGCTTTATAAGCAGACTTTAAAAGGAAAAGAAGGATTTTGTGAATCCAGACTTTGTGCTCAAGAGTTTCTAATCTTCAAAGTTTAGAAGTTTAGACTAGTCATTGCAACAAAACCATTTAAATTTACAATTATGATGTAAATTATTTATTTAAACATGCTATGTAAATGCTGTGATATATAAAATTAAAATAAATCCGCTCATTATTTTCGAATTCATCAAATATATCAAATACGAAACATATTATACGAGGGTTGGAACTTTAATAGTGGCAACTATTTATTTACAAGGAATACAAAAGTGATTCATGTCACCATGTTTTACAGTCCTTCAATATAGTCGCTAGCATTGTGTACAACCCGTTTTCAACGATGTGGAAGTCGCAAAATACCTGTAGCAGCGCCTGTTTTGTTGATGGTTTGAATGGACCGGTCTACTGCCGCAAGAATCTGAGGCACAGTTTGGAAGCGAGTGCCACGAAGTGGTTCCTTCATCTTAGGAATTTAGTCACAAGGGCTTAGATCTGGGGAGTATGGTGGATGGTAAAGCACTTCCCAGCCCCATCGCTTGAACAGATCAGTCACAGCTTGCGCTGCATGCGGCCGAGCATTATCATGCAAAATGAGAGGAGCGTTCTGCAGAAGTGTCGCCGTTTTTTTCTCAGAGCTGGTCGGATATTGTGCTCCAAAAATGAGCAGTAATACTGCGCAGTGACGGTCTGCTGTGGGGGAACGGTATGTGTTAGGATGACACCATCTTTAGACTTTAGACCGCGAACTAATACAAGGATCCGTTCTTCGCGTCACTCCGCATGCGCGTGACGTAGGCAGGACGAGTCTTTTTGCTGAGAGGTAAGGTAGGTATGTAGTTTACGTGTGGTATACGCGATATTTTTGGTTTTGTTGCGTAGCGTTTTTTCAGCTGTGTTGCCACTATTAAAGTTCCAACCCTCGTATTATTAATTATGCTTCAAACGTCTCTCGCCACAAAAGCGGTCTTTATATTACCACTATGTCTCAATATTTCGAGTCTTTCCTCTATGTTAATTTTAAAACTTTTAAATAATCTCAGTTTTTCTGGTCATGGTAAATTTGCAAGTTACCTGTTTCGTTTCAATCTGAGATCAAATAATGCATGTATAAAAAAAAACGTAAACAAAGATACCTCAAAATGTGCAAAATTTGATACTTTTCATGCCCTACCTTTGATGGCCCTAGATTATGCTTGCAAAAGGATTTGAAAATGTTCGGCGTGATTTGACCAGTGAACTTATATATTTTCGTGAAGTCCAGACTGCTGTTCTCTGTTCTTGTTCGCTTTATGTAATATTTAATGTTCTAGTTAATTTACTTTTGTAAGTCCCGTGTTATGCATCTGTGGTGCACGCGGAGATTGTATGCATTAAAAATATATTACTGGTATAAAATACTCAGAAACCTTTTCTGTTCCTAAGCGAAAAAAAAATGTATAGTTTTATACTTAAATTCAATTAGATGTTTCTGAACATGAATTTTTTTTTTTTTTTTTTTTTTTTGTTGTTGTTTATTACAATATTCTAATTTTTCCCCATCTAGGTATTTATGCTCTTTCAATAAAAGACATTTCGCCGGAAACAAATGAAATATTCGTGAGACATTACAAAATAAGGACGCTAGATAAAGGAGGCTTCTTTATTTCACCAACCACTTATTTTACCACCCTCAAACAGCTCGTCGTCTACTACTCAGGTAAATGCTTATTTTTCAGGTAAAAGTTTTAAGTGCATTAAAGTGTATGTATAAAAAAAAGTGGGAGAATTGAGAGAACTTCATTGTGATATTACATTCTCAATTTTATTGGAGAACTGTTTTAAAGAATGCATCTTTTCATACAACATTTTTTATTTAAACTCATAATATTATCGGAATAAAATATGTAAGATTAGTTTTCCACCCAGAATCATATACAACCTTATAAAAAACTGGCTATGTGATTTGAACGTTTTTTAGCATGCTTGATCTGTAGCTTTTTAGGTTATAAGGTATTTCTCCCACCTTCTTAGCATGCCTTCGTGGTGTAGTGATCCGTGTTTCGAGCCCAAAACTAGTGACTCTACAGTGGCGCCCAAACTAAAAGGTGGTGAACACATGACTTTAAAAGACTTTAAAAGGTTGAGTAATATATATTTATCGCCCCACCGTGGGCTAAGTGGTAAGATTACTGAATATAGGTACTTCGGCCATCATTTAAATTCCTGAGAACTATCTGGGTGCATAAAAGTTGTCATATTTCCTTCATTTATAAACTAAAAACAAGCCAGTTTCCTTGAAAGGTCCTCTACGAATGCATACTTTTCCTTTAAAAATAGCCTTTGTGTGATTTGCAGTATTTCAAATAATTTACTCGAATCCTTGCCAGAGGAGGCTGATTGCTAAAGTTTCACTTACAGAAATGAAGAATTTGCAAAAAAATTTTTGCAAAAGCTCCTACTGAAAGAAGGATCTCAAAAAGGAAATCCTCTCATGTGTGTTGAGATGTTGAGCCTTCTCAGACTAGCTGAAGATGTGGATCTTCTAGAGCAGCGGTTCTCAACGTTTTGACTAACGCATACCATCTAAACAAAATTTGAAAACCTTTAGGTTACCACTACAAAGTACTATTATCCACTACAAAGTACTGCTATCACCACCACTCTTGAGCAAAGTTCATATCGCATAAATTTACGAGTGTTAGAAGAAAACTCTATCAGGATGTTGGGGTTTTAATTTTTGAATTTAATAGTTAAAAATACTTTGCGTACCACCTATTTTTCTCTTGCGTACCACCGGTTGAGAACCCCTGGTCTAGAGAAAATCTGCGAAGCGGAAAGCCACTGTCAATGAAATCCAGTTAGCAATACTAATATAGCAGGCCGTCCAGTCGGTATAGGGGTCAGGAAGCTGACTGCGATGCCGAAGGGCCTGGGTTCGAATCCCGGAGAAGGTATGGTTATAACTGTCCTTCCTTTCATAGGAAAGGCGATGGTGGCCCACCTATTAGGTGTCTCCATAATAAAGAGATGAATGAACTGAGAGTTATGAACTGAGAGTTACTGCGAACTTTGATGAAAACATCTGGCTTGTAAATTTTTCAAAATTAAGGAACTCCACAAAAAAATTTTTAATGCGTCTTGAGCAGCCGAAGCTCACTTTTTTTCAACGCATAGAAATGACAACTGCTGCATATAAAAGGATTGTTGATCCACATGCTCACACTAAGCAGCTGTTAAAAAATAATTTGTTTCCATTGTTACGTTTTAATCTTAGAATATAGATATGCTTATTTTCAATAGGTATAACTATACTGGGACTACCTTTTCTTTCTGGAAGCAGTCATATCAAAAATATATTGAATTATATATTAAAAAACAAGTAATCCACAGAATGAAAAAGCTATGCGAAGACTAACACTTTAATATATTTAAGAGTAAGGTTTATCCTAGGTTGTTAACAGTTATTTTTAGTTAAAGCCACTGTCTTATCTCTCTTAATTTCAGCTTACAATTTCCTGCCAGAATGTGTTTTCAGAATCGCGGTTAAATGCAAATGAAGGAAAAGCAAGTATTTAAAGTTGAAGTTCTACTGACTTCCTTAGAGAGCTAAAGATTCCGACTAGCGCGCGTTCGCCTTTTAGGCTACTCTCTCTCCAAAGCTATTTTTACGCTCGGCCGTACCTTAGGCCCTTGATAGCTTCGTCGTATAGTTAGCGTTAACGGGCCAACTCTTGTAGTATTTTAATAGCTCTGGCTATATCTTTTTAGTTAAATTTAGTTAAGCTTTATTTGTCAGTATTCCTGAGTTCAAGCCCAAGTGGGGGCTTTGCTATAAACTCCGAGAAGGAGTCAAATGTTAAATTCTTATTTTGAGAAATAAAGGGTACTTAACCCTTCCTGAGTTCTGTTCTCTGTCTACTGCACTAAAGCGATTATTCGCTTACCAGTTCTCAAGGTTCCACACATTTAGCTGTAAATTATAGGTTGGAACATTACATAAGTATAACATTAATAACAAGACAAGATTCAACTTATTATTGAGTATACATTGAATAGTTCTTTTTATCTAAAAATGTTTTGAAATGTCAAAAGTAAACCAAATCTCATGCTAGAAGTAAGTTGAGATATAGTGTGCCTCTTACACGCTATAATTCTGAGCTTAGTTTTTTAAGCTCTGTGTTTAAAGTAGACTTATTCAGCTAGAATTTGAGAATCTGACAAAGCTTCACTAACTCTTAGACCTCAAAACCCTCTTTCTTTAAAGAGCTTTGTTAAAGAACTGATTAGAAGACTTGAACAATGGGCCCTTTCACATCATCGGAACTTCAAAACGACTCTAACAACGAAGTGAATTTCATCATCCAAATTATGCTGCATTCTTATTGATCATTGTAATTGTGTTTGGAAAATTTATCAGTTTTAAAACCACCGGGAGAGGTTTAAGTTTTATTAAAGAAGAAAACCATACTATATTTAGCACAATCATTTGGAAATGCTCTTTTGTAATCAGAAGATATATAAATATTTTTCTCAGATAACTTAAGGCTTACTTAATGGGATTTGTTTATTACCGAAAATAAGTGCTAAATTTTCATACTTTTGTTAAATAGCTATGCACTTTCTAAAATTTGATAATGTTAACTTTCAATAGTTCAGTATGAATTAATGGTGACAATAATAATATATTAATGTCATAGTTATTTGATTTTTAATCATTATTATTTTTACAATTTATTTATGGATTTTCTTATGAAATTTTCTCAGCCGAGGCGAATGGACTTTGTTGTAAACTACAGAAACCTTGCCCGCGATTACGTCCGACTCTTCCCGGGCCGTCTCCGGATATCCGAGATGAATATGAAATTCCATACGAACAATTACAGTTTGTTCGACAGTTAGGTAAAGGAAACTTTGGAGAAGTCTTTTATGGTAAGTGAAATTGCATAAGAAAATGCGGGAACGGTAATTTTTTTGGTTTAAAAATTACTTTTTTTATTGTTATAATTTTTCTTCAATATATCTTTATACTGATTTCAGAAATTTATCAACAAATAGCATTTTTATATATACATTTCGCATAAATGAAGTTTTAAGTGATAGCTTTATAATCCTTAATAAGTAAATTTACTAGATGATAAATACAGCAACAAAAATATAGCAATCTTCTGGTAAGGAATTTTGAATTCTAATTTAGTTTGATATCAGTTCTCTTCGTGCAGTATACTCGAATCTTAACAAAAGGCACACTTACTTTCTTCGCTGCCATGGCCAGCCTTCTATACTAAAATTTCATGTACTAATATTTGAAAGTTTGAAACCGAGCGAGCTCTTTTGAAACTCAGGTGCCCAACAGATCCCAAAATTCTTCTACTATATTGGTGTTATGTGTAATGTGGATATGGATATTCCATAGATAAAACACACTGTTATAAAATTAGTACATAGCAGAATTATTTTTTAGCCTAAAGCAATCGAAGTAAAAAGCAACTGAAATTCTAATTATTTACCCAAGATATTCTTTAATCACATAGATGAAAATATGTCTTATAGTTGCTGTGTATCATAAACTTCAAACAAAAAAAAAATTTGTTTCGAAAGTATTATTATACATTTTGTAATTCTATAGCTTAACAATTATAAAACTTAAATTCTTATTTAAAGGTTGAAGTGATGGTATCATGTAAATTATTGCGCATTCTATGTTGGAGGACGACATTCTGAATTGCACCACTGAAACTTTAATTAATTTTGCAATATACAACTTATCAAAACTAAAAATGAAAATGGCCCACTTTCGTATTTATTAGTGACAGTCATACTTAATAACTACTGATGAACTCCTAGATATGTTTTATTGTAATCTAGGCCCACGGAAGCTCGTCTGCATCATTTACAACGCAGGCGATCCCCAGTCAAAGTAACATCGCTGTTCCACTACTCATAATCTTTCACCTAAATTTTATGTAAAAATTATGAGTTTCAAAACACAAAAACAGGAACAATTTTTAATAGAAAATCGGCTACTGAAACGTTAGAAAGGATTCGAACAGCATATGGTGGAGCACCAGTCAAGAACACAAGTATACGAGTGGTACAACCGCTTTAAATGTGGGTACGAAAGCGTTGAAGATGAATCAAAGATAGGGCCTCCTCAACCTCAAAGAATGATAAAAATGTGAAGAAAATTCTTCTTTGGTAAAAGCTAACAGACGTGTAAAACCTCAGCGATTTTCAAATATAGCTGGGAAAGAAATAGTAAGTTAATTTTAAAATAGATAATAAGGAAAGTTTGTGCTTGATTTGTGCCTTGGATTTTAACAGAACAGCAAAATAAAGACAGAAAATCTTACCACGAAGATTTGCTGAATACTGCGAGCTAGGACAATAGTTTCTTAAAGTGTCATAGCGGATGATGAAACCCGGTATCTATATTATAACTCAGAAGCGAAAAGACAAAATGCACAGTGGAAAGGATCGTCTTCTTCTATACAGTAACAAAAAATAAGGATATAAAAATCAAAGACTAAGGAAATGTTAACTGCATTTTTTGATTACAAAGGACTTACTCACCGTAAATTTGTTCATGAAAATCAAGCAATCAGTATTTTTTCAAGGGGGTACTTTTTTTTGTTAAAAAACAGGATAAGGCGAGTTAGGAATCCTTTGATTCTAGGTAATGTTTTTTTTTTACACGATAATTTACAGAGTTCCGTACAACATTGTTTGTACAACAATAATCTTATTAAAAATTCAATTGCAGTGATAAATCACCCGCCATATTCTCCCGACTGATTTTTTTTTTTTCCTTTTCCAAAGCTTAAGATGGCTATGAAAGAACAGAAATTTGGAAACGCCTAGGGTATTAAATCAAACGTTGCGCGTATTTTGAGAATGGTTAGTTCCAACGCCTATAAATAGGGTTTTGATGACCTGAAAAAAACGCTGTAAAAATTGGATAGACTCCTCTGGCGATTAGTTTGAAGAAGATAAATTTATTTGAAAGTTAGTAACGTCTATTTTTATTTAAAAGAAATTGTCCATGTACTTTATGGGTACAACCTTATACATATGCTATCAAGTGTAGCGAAAAACTGAAAATTCTGTCTGGTACAATAACCACCTTGTTGTTTTATTTTAAAAATTAAAAAATCCCATGACTCCTCACTGACGCCTCTTGAGACTGAAATATATACATATTTTTTTAATTTTAGAGTGGAATTAATAAATTTAATGATAAAGCAATGAAATTAAAAAACAATCTTATGTATTTAATAAATTTATGCAGACAGTCTTAATATGAGGTTAGCTACAATAATTATCTGGGACGCAGACGAGTTACTTGAAGCTTGGTTAACACGTGGCAACAGGTAATTCTTAGAGGTGTAAATATAAGGTCACAATAAACATAATAATGCTTTCAAAAATGAATATCTATATTTATAAATTTCACAGCTGTTTCATTTTGTCGTGTCATTTGAAATTCTGAAGTATCATTTCACTTCAGAAAACGTGTAATTGCAAAAATCGTAAACCTTGTAGTAACGGTAAAATTCAGCATGAGTTGTTATATGCCTTTGAATTCCATGATTGCGTATTCTAAAGGTCTTTCTGACGAATCTGACGAAGTTAGCCTTACAAACATTCTTACTTAGTACAGTTAAAAATTTTTATCAGTTCCGACATTGCTAAGATCTCAACTGCAGAATCTCTAGTGTTGAATCATATTCTACCTCTTACATTGATAGCCACTAAAAATCAACTAAAATCTAAAAATTTTACCAATAATGCATTTTTAGGAATGAACAGAGAAGTTTTCTAAAAAGTTAATAAAAATTTACTCGTTTGTCTTAAATAATTTTTGTATGCTAGTTCCAAAATGCAGTTCACATAATAATTTCATTCTGCTGTCACTGATGCCGCATTTCTTCTGAGTAGGAACTCAAAATTTCTGATGAGAGACAAGATGCATACCTATGAGACATTTTGGTACAGTACACTGGTGGGCAAAAATTAAGGACAAAGTTCAAAAATTAGCTTATCAGCGGAACAAACAGGCACAGCAGGTCTGAAACACCAATCAGGAGATTGACTAAGGTCAGGTACGGTAGCATATGTGCATATAATGCAACTAGATGTAATGGGGGGGAATGTCGGAGGGGTATAAAGGTCGCCGGAGGTGTAAGCTCAGCATTTCTGGGAAGCTATTGCACGGCGTATATCAGTTTAAACGACATCGAGTTGCTGCCTCAAAGTGAAATGTCGAACAATCAATCTGTTAGACGACATCTGCATGATGTTACCCGAGTTCGAATCATTGGAAAGACAGAGGAAGGTAGAAGTGTGAGAAGTGTTTCTGCGGAGTACAGGATTGCTCACAGCTTCGTTTAATGACTTTGGAGAGCATTTTATATTACAGGAACAGCTGTCCGATGGTTAAACAGTGGTCGTCCACGAGCAACCACGACAGCAGATGACCGGTATATTTTCCTACAGGCAAGAAGGAACAGGCAGCAGACAGCAAGAGAAATCTCAAGACACATTTAGCAGGCGATTGGACAACCGATATCGCGTCTTACCGTGGCCAAGAGGCTGCATGATGGTGGTCTGTTTTGCACGACGACCTGTGAGGTGTACACCATTAATACCTGCTTATCGGAGAAGGCGTTTTACGTGATGCAGGGAACACCAGAATTAGACCAGTAATCAGTGGGGTTGAGTAAGTACTCTTTACGGATGAGAGTAGATTTAGTTTGAGTGGCGATTCTAGACACAGCTGGAGAGACAGGGAAACACGCAATATCCCTTCCAAAATCATCGAAAGGGACCGGTTTGGAGGTCGCGGAGTTCTCGTTTGGGAAGGCATCATTCTTGTTAGTCGTACAACCCTCACATCTTCCAAGGATGTTTCGTCACCGGAACCCGTTATTGCAACGAGATTCTCCTTCCTTACGTGCGTCTTCTCAGAGGTTCTATGGGTCTTCAGTTCATCTTCATGGATGACAAGGCTCTACCTCATCACACAGTTCCTGTGTGAAGAGGTGTTAGAGAATGAGGATATTGAACGTATGAAATGACCGGCAAGGTCTCCGAATCTAAATCATATCGAGCATGTATAGGACTTTCTAGGGAGACGAGTGGCAGCATGTAACTTATTGCCAGTAATGATTCCGGAGCTGCGATTGGTGTTACAAGAGGAATGGACAGCAATGGCCTAACAACTCATTGAAAACCTCATACTCAGCATAGACAGATGATATGAAACATGCACAGGTATACCACAGGATATACATTGTATCATGTGGCATACCTGTTTGGTTATACTTTAGAGGCTTCGACTCTAAGGTATAACCAAACAGAATAATACCTGATCATCGGAAGAAGATCTACTACACTAGCTGCCGCCACAGCCAGTGCGTGCCCTGCAGAACAGCGGCATTTATTGAAAGCATAATCAAAATGCAAATACAATGCAATTTTACGTACACTTAATACATCTTTGCATTCAGTGCTACGATTATATTCAATTAAAACAATAACACAAGCAAATGTTGTCACGATGCTATTTTCATTATTACAAGGCTAAAAAGAAACGCAAAGCCTATTAATGTACATAAACAAAATTTTGAAAGGGCTGTCCTTTTGTATATGAATTCAAGTTTGCTTTTCTATATATACTTATAAAAGCTCATAATTCGATACTAATCTAATAATAATTCTGTTAAAAATTTTCAGAGTGCAATTGATTCAAATTAAGTCACTAAATTATTTGTAGTTGACATGCCTGCAAAATTATTATGTTCGCAAGTCAAGTTTAATAAAGTAATAAAAGTCAAAGTTTTTGGTCTTTTGAACTGTTCTAAATCAAAACTTTTGATTGTCAGACCTTTGAGAACATAGTTTCAATTCCTTGAAGATGAATAAATTTTCACTGTAAATCTGTTTATGTGTTTATGACCAAGCAGGCATGTCGTGAATAAGAACACAGTTCGTACATTAGAGTTCAGATGACATAATGTTATATACTGTTGAGAAAGATAAGAATATTGGTGCTTAGTTATTTCAATACACAGTTCACAGCAGTCAGGGGAGATCATATCCCCTACTGAAGGCAGGATGCTTCTTGCTGGACATCTTTCACAAGGATGTTTCTGCTTCTGTGGCATTGTGCTCCATGATACTTTTTCAATAAAGTTCCTTTCTATTCTCTTGATTTCTTTCGTGGGAAGTTCGCTTACATTACCAATGTTTTTACGTCTTGGTGATCTTATGGTATTATTTGTGTTGATTTGGAAAGTTTTCGCACAATGTTATATTGAAAAAGCCGTCTTGTCCTTAATTTTTTCACACCAGTGTATTTTGTAGTACTGTGGCTACTTATTCCAGAAGTGTCATATGGTGTTTGTTTTCAGAAATATTCAAAATGCCGTTAATCATGGCAACAAAACTATCTCAACCGCCTTTTCGATCACTATTGAGTTTTTTTCTCGAAGAACCTTTTATATTTTAGGATATTCTTTATTCGTAATCAAACGAAGACTTATGTTTTAATTTTTGCAGATAGTTTATGGAAGAAATCCTACAAAGGTAGGGGTTAGCTCTGTGTATAGAGATATGACAAATGTTTTCATTAAACTGTATTTAATGTGCAGTAGCGGCATCAGATTCTTCGGAGATCCAACAAAATCTCCCACCTGATATTGTGGTTCTCTGTAAAAATTTTAATTCGTCGTGTCTAGTTCCTCCTCTTTCAGAACAGGCAGCAAAGAAATTTTCTGAAACCGGTTTGCTCAGGTTAGGTTAGGTTATCTGAATATGACACACCACAGAAGGGTTATCTACCAAACTGCACGAATGCTTTCGTGGAAGCCTTTCTAATACAGATTGGCTCGTATTTACGTTACACATGTAGAAAATCAAATATATAGCCAGCCTTTTCACGTAGGTTCGAACCGGTATCAAATTACTTGTATTCAGCTGTCTTAACCTCTCTGTTACTAGTGTGACGAAACAAGTTTGAAGACGCTATAAGAATGCCTCCAATTCGAAGTCTTTAATGACTTTCCTGCCGTGCTCTTCAAAACGCGTAATTATAACGTAAACTTGTAGTAAAGGAGAGATTGAAATTTAATGACCGGTCCGTTGTACTTACGATCGGTTTAAATATAGAAGAAAAAAGTTTACTAATAAATTTGTGTATTTTTCATACATATGCATACTGAAAAAAGTACAGTTTAATAAAACTGATAAAGATAAAACAAACCGCATCATACAAAAATCAAACGAGTTGCTTAGTTCCATATAGCCTTTCTCTTTCGTTTTTCACGTCCAAACTTTTTTCACTAAACTGAGCTATCAAGATATTGGTACTTTTGCAAAAACGCAGACTTTTCCGATAAATTCATAATACACGTTAAAATGAAATTTCAGCAATTGATTCTTCAAAAAAAAAATATCTTATGATTCAGACGTAGCAAAATGAGTAAGCTGCAGAATTGTAAACTGAAGATACGATTACTTTATCGGAGAAAATGCTGCAGTTTTCTTTTAATCTGCTAGATTATGCATTGTTCTCAAAGGGTCACGCAGTCGCTTTGGTGGTGCTGTTGTAACGAAGTGCAAGAAAAAAAATAATTTAATGAAAATTGTTCTACTGATCCGAAAAGCAAAATTTTAAAAGAAAATGAGTAATTTCCATCTTTTCAAAGCGCAGGCTGCTGTAAAATGATAATTCGTGCCGAAAAACGGAAATTGTGTTACATTTTATTCGTCTACCGTTTTATTTTTTTGTCCTTCTACATTCACCATTTTATTTCAGTTGGGAAAAACTAAGCTTGGCTTCGTGATACCTTTAATTATTATTATTTTTTTTTTTTTTTGTTCAAATAGATGCTTGAAATGTAGCGTTTATTCTCTAACTATAGTTTTTCACACACAGGTTACTGGAATGGAACTCTAGAAGTAGCTATCAAATGTGTGACAAGTCATGGTGTCCAATCTGAAGACTTCAAACGCGAAGTTGCTGTAATGAAGGCCATAAGCCATCCGAAAATCGTGCGCTTATATGCTGTTTGTACAGAAAGAGAACCCTACTGTATAATTATGGAATACATGCCCAAAGGCAATTTGCAGCAGTATCTTAAAACTACGCACGGGCAGCTGTTGAAACTGCCTTCACTAGTAAATATGGCAGCTCAGGTATAGAGCCTATTTATAGTTACATGACATAAGTGCTTATGATTATAATAAATATTTATGATATTTTATATGCTAATCGCTCCTTTTTTTCTTTGTAACTGCACTTCAGATCTGCGATGGGATGCAATATCTAGAATCTAACAACTTAATTCATAGAGACCTAGCAGCTAGAAATATCTTGGTTGGTGAAGGAGACATTGTAAAATTGGCAGATTTTGGACTGGCCAGGATAATGGATGAAGCTGTTTATGTAACCAGTGGTAAGAAATCATAAAGATTTATGAAAGAAGGAAGTAACTGTTCTTTTGTATTTACTTTTTATTCATAAACTTATAGAAGGTCTGAAGGAACGTTCATACGCATCCCTTTTACTTCGAAATGAACATATACACGTAAAGGTCTCTCTCTGTCAAAATGGATATATCCAAATAAAACTGACCGCAATACGCTCTAACAGAAAAATAAGGAAATGAAATCGAATTTGAAAAATGCAGTTATGCAAGATTGAAGAAAATGGTCATTTACAAAGTTATAGAACTTTAACTTACCGCTATGAATCAACATTCAGAAATGGACCACAGGGAAGTAATTATTAGTTGTAAAGTTATGGGAAGCTTTTTGATTACAAAAAGCATTGCAGTATTAGAAGCATTGTTACAAATTAGTCAAAATTGAAAAGTAGTACTATGTTAGTTAAAGTATTGAGGTATTAATTCATGCGCACCGCTAATCCCTTTCTTTCTTAGGTTTGATATAGTAAGCTCATATATCAAGATAGGGTATCTGAAGCGTTAACATACATGAAAAATGAGGACTTTCTTTTCTTAAATAAAGCGGAAAGCAAGACATCTAAGGTAAAGTTAGAATCAAGGTATAAATACTTTAATTATGAAAACAAACATCTGTGTCAAAACAATTATTTACATTTTTGATATGGAATAAAATATTAATATGTACAGTAATTAGGATTTTTGAAGTAGAAAACACGATAAATTAGAAATATTCTCGCCGGGACTCGAACCTGGACCTCTCGAATACGCGCCGAGTGTGCTACCTTTACACCACGAAGGCATGCAGAACGGAGTGAGAAAATAACCTTATATGCTACCACTTTTAAGGGTGACTGGGGATTAGGGGGACCCAGTCGCCAAATCCTGGTGGAGAAGAATCGTCATCCACCCTCTTTTTCGTTCGGGTGCCACTGTAGAGACATTAGGATTTTTGAAGTAGGAGATATGAATAAATGCCCTCGCCGGGACTCGAACCTCGACCTCTCGAATACGCGCCGAGTATGATAGCGTTATACCATGATGGCATGAAGAAAGGAGTGAGAAAATACCTTACATAGTATTCCTTTTAAAGGGCGACTGGGGACTGGGGGGACCCGGTCGCCAAACCCTGGTGGTGAAGAATCATCATCTACCACCTTTTAGTTTTTTTTTTTTTTTTTGTGTGTGTGTGTGTGTGTGTGTGTGTTGTGTTGTGTTGTGTGTGTGTGTTTTCTTTTAAGGCATTTTGATTTGCATAACGTATCGTTTAAAGTTACTTTCTTATTGGTTAGCTAACAGCATAAGGATTATCCTAGACATTTGATAATCAAATAACGCGTAACTGTTAATTATTAGTCATTAGTGCATTTCTTTATGTCGACTAAGTGTTCAGTAGATAATACTACCTAATTTAACCATTTTCTTCTAATCTCCCTTCATTGGAGGGTTAGATTCGATAACTTCCATAATATTTTTACCATATTCTCTGTAATCGCATTTGTTAGATCTGACATATCTGCTTGGTTACAAGTAGATCTAACGTGTACAATCTGTATCTTTATTCTTAAACCAGGGTTGCATGCCAGCTTTCCCTTAGACCCTATATATTTTATATATTTATAAGATTATTTTCAGGAGGAAAACTGCCAATAAAATGGACGGCACCAGAAGCTTACACTACTGGACAATTTAATATAAAATCAGACGTCTGGTCCTATGGTATTGTTTTGTATGAGATTTTTACTCATGGAGGCACGCCTTATCCAGGTAAGAAAAGATTAAAGTGATATTAATGAAATGAAATGCAAACGTAAGTTGTTAATAAGCTGTGCAGTGTATCAGCAATGATCCATTGCCTTGCATTACAAAATGGGACAGTGTATTAATAACAATACATTACATTTCAAAACAATATATTTATTACAGCCTTTCAATTAGTATTGATAAAATCGAAGAGAGTGGAGAAAAAAGAAGAATTTTAATAGAACATTTTTGGGTACAAATTATCACTAAATAAAACCAGTAAATTTTTTTAAAGCAGCTACCTTCATGTAATACTTGACATTTCATATTAATATGTTGTAGACACTTTAGTTATTTGGAAGAATGAAAGATGGAATATTAGCAAACGCCTTCGCCGGGAATCGAACCACGGACCTCTGGAATACCGGCCAGAACCACTAGACTACAAAGTCACGCTAGGAAGACGGGAGAAATACCTTATAATGTTAATGACGTTATTAGATCAAAATCGTAAAAAACAACCTTATATTTAGCGTAGGTATAATGAAACACTCAATCGATTTCGAGGGCAGCTAAAGGTCCCTCCTCATCAGGAGAAAGAAATACATAGAAAGAAGAAAATAGGAATCACAGAAACACGTGGTGCTTATCAGCACTGCACGTGGTTATAACTAGATTTTTAATCAGAGTTGCACTGGCCGCCTACTTTTACTGAGCCAGGCTGTCTGATCAAGCATAAAGAAATATTAGCGAAGTTAAAATAGGGAGCGAGGGGCAAATGCACATTACGCTCAAAATCTGAACTTCAAATAATGGAAAGCAACCACTGAACGGATTTTTATACCCTCTGGTAGTACCAAATGCGAGGAGGTAACGCCATCTATCGGCAAAAATAATTGAATTAAGACAGTAGAATTTTAAAGACATTAGGAAGGACTGGATTGGACTTCAAATCATTAACTAAACTTTCTAAATCTTTGTGAATGTAAAAAGCCTCAAGAAAATCCAATTAGATGAGGATATTCAGACTGGTAAAATAATAAAACTTCAGTAGTCTTATAATTTAGACTGCAAAAAGAGTGAAAATTTTTCGTTCAGATAATTAATTCTTAGACACATGTATAAATAACAAGAAAATAAAAGGCTTCAAGTACAGTGCCGTAAAAGCATAGAACATTTATTGAAATGTATGAAATGCAGCTAAACAGAAGCTCTTTCCTTTTAAAATCGTGTAAGGAATTACTGCATTCCCTCTGTGAAAGCTGTTGTGGTTAAGTGACTAGTACTTTCAGCTACTCTTGGAAGATCCACTACTGGAATCTTGGAGATGGCACAGTTGACTTTTTACGTTTCATGCTTTGAAATAGCCTCATGGTCTCTACAGTGATACTTCAACAAATGATATAATGGATGAGAACTCATCACCAACTGTGTTTGATCAACGAAATCTTGTGCCTTTTACAGTCCTATAAATTGGAGGATGTCTCTTATCCTCCAATTTATAGGACTGTAAAAGATGAGTTGTCTCTTATGATGCATTTCTATGCGTGACATTATATTCAGTTAGTAGTGTAGGATCTGTAGTTCGAATCCTAGTGAAGACCCAGTTGATTTTGCACGTTCCCTATTTTGGAAAGCCTGACATTCTCTCCATTTGTAAATAACAATGTAATAAGCGGCTGTTTTGCCAACAAGACTATCAGCCTATTTGCTCTTTATATGGAAATTATAAACTACCAGCGATACCCAGCCAAGAGACCACCGGCATTTATTTATATAAAAATTCTCTTGTAAATTTTTATACATATACATAGTTTTGTTACATTTTTCAGTTACATATTATTATTTTGTTACATACATGGTTAGTTTCTTATTACAATTTACTTTTCTTATTACATTTACAATTTTGTTATAGTTTCTTACAATATAATTGCATTTTATTATGCTATATTATTACAGGTATTTTGAAAGATTCTGTAATTTATTACCATTATTAAATTATTACAATTAATTATTACCATTTGTTATTTAAAATAATTAAATAATAAATGGTAATAATTAAAATTATTATCATTAAGTAAATTATTACTATTTATTATTTGTAATTTTTGTTACAATTTATTATTCCATAAATATATTTTGTTATATGTCGTTACAATGTATTTTGAAATGATCTGTGAAATTAAATAATAGAAGATACGTACATTTTTATCAGAATACAAGAAGAGAAAAGAAAAACAATATATATGCATATTAATTTATAATGAATATAGTAAAAGAATAATGAAATAAAATATTAATAAAAGAAATAAACAATAAATAAGAATAAAATTAAATATAAAGTAAATACTATAAAGGTTACAGTATTAAGGAATATAATATAAAACTATAAAACAAATATAACATTAAAGATCATATAACAATGTTATGCTGGATTTATAATAATATTGTTAGGTTGCTTTTAAATTGTCACAGATGAGTATCAGATATGTGAAGAGCGCATGCACTTTCTTTTGTAAGATTCTGCACCTGATTAGTTAATTGAACCATAGTACTTTGTGCTGTATAATGTCTGAGACGTAAGTTTCTTTTTATGTCACAGTCGAATAAATAGTCATCAAAGTCTCCTTTACTGCCACAGATGCAGTTCTCTGTATGATGCAGTCCAAATTGATAAAAATAAGCTAGATTTGGGCTACGGTCTGTTAATAAAAAAGCTATGGCTCGGGTTGTTGCTATTAAATTTCTTGAAAGGTGTGGTAGGGAAATACGAATTCTTCTGCCTGTGTCTGCTAGGGTCAGTTGGACTTCCAAGCTGAGAGTAAATCTTGCTCTAATTTGCGGAACGATATTGCATATGGTATAAAAGTTAAATTTTTCACAGAACCATATGCAGCTTCTTTGATTTTTAAATCTGCGATATCGTTTCTAACTATTCTCATGTGTATTATTGTCCACTGTAGTTTAGGTACTATGGAAGCATAAAAGTTCGTTAATAAGCGATTAATATCTCTTACTAACGGAGCTCGATTTTGAGCAGTTATGCCATGTATACTGGATAAGCTGTTTGTTATCATTATGCTACGGAGTGATTCTTTGGAAGTTTTATTGCTGCTTTTATTACTGTTAGCTCTGCTTCAAAGACAGAATTATTATTGCTCAGTTTCGTCCTCCAAGTTTTCATCGGGCATCCACTCTGAAATGTATGCAAACTCCTATTTCGGTTTTGGAGCCATCTGTATAAATTTAAAGAGGAAAAGTCTCTGTTGCATAAAACTGGTTGAATTGGTATAGAATTGGTTAGCAGATTACATATAAAATGGTGTTGGTGTATTTAATTATGGCAAAGCACACGAGGGCTATCTGCCTAAAGGGAGGGATGCCTTTCGTGGAGGACTTTCTAAGGGAAACTGGCTCGTATACACGTTACACATGGGGAAAACCACGAAAACGCCCATGCAGCCAGCCCGTTCGCGGGATTCGAACCTCAGACCGAACTACCAGTGTTCAGCGCCTTTACCGCTCGGCCGCTGGTGGGCCACATATAAAATGTTATGAGGGATTAGATAATTTGTGTTGTTATACGAGCACGTTTGTTGAAGTCTTGCTACTTTTATTAGTACTCATACTTTTTGTAGAGTTAAGGTTATTAGTGGTATGACAGGTAAAGTTTGTAGGGCATTTATGGGAGTTGTTCTGTAGACTCTTATTATTGAAAGAGGGAAAAGTCTTTGAATGGAGAGCAGGTGCTTTGTGCACGTTTATTAAGATTCCGTCTCCAGACAGATGCACCATGTAATATTATTTTTCTACTCGTATAATAGATTACCAGATTTTTTGTTACCCCAGGTACTTGTTGTTGCAAATCTTAATGAATTAGAAAGTATGAGAATTGTAGTTTCCAGATAATTTATGTGATGATACTAGATTTGCCGATTATCTGTTGTTATTCCAAGAGATGTTTTTCCCAAATGCTATTTTCCCTTGTGATATTTTGATTATTGGTAGTAGCAGATTTCTTTAGAGATGTACCCAGTGTGGGAAAGTATAGCGCTTTGCATTTAGGAATTGATATTTTCAGGTGAAATTCCTATATCCAGCTTTTGAGTATCTGAAGAGATGTATTGGAATTTTCTTCTATTTCTTTTCTGTTATTTCTTTGAGTTATTAAAGCGTAGATGTAGGAATCTCATTGTCTTGCCGAAAAAGATGAGAAATAATGTGTTGAACTACATCTGATGACGATGTTATTCCAGGAAAAATCTATTATAGAAAGAAGAGGTGATATGAAAACTTTGTTATGAGCTATTTTAAATGACGATCCATATTTGCCTTAGTATTTGAGCAAAAGCCTTGCCAACTTTTCATTTTTTCAGATCTTATATTTATTTATTTTATAAAATGCTGTTATTATTAACAATGTACCAAACGGAAGGTATTCACCTTTTACGAGGAGATCGTCTGCAGATGCATAACAATGTTTTTTTTTCTGCTTTAAAAGTTTCATTTCTGCTTTAAAAAGGTTGAATTTAAAAATTTTTAGCAAAAAGAAAACTGCGAAAAATAAATGTTGGTGTTTTAATAGGGTCGTCTCAGTTTTATGGAATTACCAGTTTCTCTTTAAGCAACAGTTATAAAAATGTTTTTGTGTTAATCTTTCGAGAGGAAATTTGCATGCTTTATATTTGCTTCTTAGGGTTCTCACTGCTTCGTTCTTTCATTAAATTTTGATTCCACCAGTTTGACTTTTCTATAAGTTGTTCTGTGCTTATATGTAGTGTAGCAGGGGTTTATTATTGTTTAAATAAAGTTATCCATAGACTTATTCACTTTTGTTTTTGTTGTTGCTGTTTCGAAAGATATAATAATATCTTTTGATTTATCTATTTAGTTAGTTTTGAAATGCCTGTGGCCACAATAAGATATTTTAAATCGACATATTGTCATAAAACTTAAGCTCTGCTAGAGTTGAATGTTAATGTATCTGATCGTTGAGCGATTCTTGATCTATTATTTCCATTTCC